GGTCATTAATATTATTATCATTATTGTTTTATTCTCATTATTCGTATACTTATTTTTCTGAATATGATGATGGTGATGATGAGGAGGATGGTGATGTTGCTGCTGATGATGATGCTGATGCTGCTGCTGCTGCTGCTCCCGATGATGATGATGATGATGGTGATGATGATGCTGCTGATGATGATGCTGATGATGCTGCAGAAGATGATGATGACGATAATGACGATGATACTGATTGTGATGAAGATTCTGATTATGAAGATTATGATTATGATGATGATGATTATGATGATGATGATGATGATGATGATGATGATGGTGGTGGTGGTGGTGGCGATGACGATGCTGATGCTGATGCTGATGCTGATGATGATGATGATGATGCTGATGCTGATGCTGATGCTGTTGCTGATGCTGCCGCTACTGCTGCTGCTGCTGCTGCTGCTGCTGATGATGATGATGATGATGATGATGACGATGACGAGGAGGAGAAGGAGGCGGAGGATGAGGAGGATGAGTGGATGGATGGATGGATGTATTGTTGGTTGGATGGCCAGATGGATGGACGGAGGACGGAGGAGAATAGTGAGGATGAGGAGGACCAGGATGAGGACGATGGTCATGGTGATGAGGATAATGATGAGTAGGTAAAGGAAGGAGAACGGAGGAGAAAGACGGAGGAAAAATACTGAGGATCATGATGATGACGAGGAGGACGAGGACGAGGAGGACGAGGACGAGGAGGGGCAAGGATGAGGACGGAGGACGGAGGATGGAGGGGTAGGAAAAAAGAGGAGGTGTAAGAGGAAGAGGAGGAGGAGGAGTAGGAGGACGAGGAGGAGGAGGAGGAGGAGGAGGAGGCTGAGGAGAAGGCTGAGGAGGAGGGGGAGGAGGAGGAGGAGGAGGAGGAGGCGGAGGCGGAGGCGGATGTTAAGGAGGAGGAGGCTGAGGAGGAGGAGGAGGAACAGGAGAAGGAGGAGGAGGCGGAGGAGGAGGAGCAGTAGGAGGAGGATGATGATGATGATGATGATGATGATGATGAGGAGGAGGAGGAGGAGAAGAAGGAGGAGAAGTTGGAGGAGGCGGAGGAGGAAGAGGAGGAGGAGGAGGGGGAGGAGGGGGAGGGCATGTAGTCTCAGCAGCTGGCTCCCTCCTGGCAAGGAGCCTCGTGCCGGCCTCGCTGGTCGCAGCCGCCACCCTCGCCGCCGTCTCGCGCACCTTCGTCTCGCCCTCGGCGGCGCCCGCTGGGCGCTCCTCCCGGACGGCCGCGCGCGGCTTTAAGGAAGACTTCGAGGCGTGGAGGGGCTCCCTCACGCCGGAGGAGACCGGGGTTGGGGCAGCGCAGAGGGCGGCCAGAGGGAGGACTCAACCGCGTTGTGGTTGCCGCTTTCGGTGGAGATCCCCTTGGGGCCACGAAACTTGTGATGGGGGTGCCGTAATGGTGGTGGCTGGGAGCGCACACGAACTGTGCCACTAAGGTCTCAGGTGGAGCTCCCTGTGTGGCCACGAAACGCGTGAGGGGTGTGCCGAAATGGGTGGCGGGGCCGCTTGCGGACAGCACCGTTGGGGCCTTGTGCGGAGCTCCTATGGGGCCACGAAGCGTGTAAGGGGTATGCCAGAGTAGGTGGTTGGGGCGCATGCGAATGGCACAAATTGTGCCTTTTTGTGAAAGTCTAGGTGGGGCCCCGATGCATGTAAGGGGTGAACGGCGCCACTGGGGCCTTGTGTGGAGTTGCGTATTGGGCCACGAAGCGTTTGAGGGGTGCGCCGAAAGAAGTGGTGGGGGCGCATGCGAACGGCACTACTGGGGCCTCAGGTGGAGCTCCCTATGGGGCCACGAAGCGTGCGAGGGGTGTGCCGAACTGGTTTGTGGGGGCGCATGCGAACGGCATTACTGGGCCCGTAGGTGGAGCTCCCTATGGGGCCATGAGGCGTCTGAGGGGTGTGCCGACATGGATGGCGGGGGCGCATGTGGACGGCACCATTGGGGCCTTTTGGTGGAACTCTCTGTGGGGCCACGAAGTGTGTAAGGAGTGTGCCGACATGAGTAGCTGGGACGCATGCGAACGGCACCACTGGGGCCTTGGGTGGAGCTCTTTATGGGACCACGAAGTGTGTAAGGGGTATGCCGGAGTTGGTGGCGGGGACGCATGCGAACGGCACCATTGGGGCCTATATGTGGAACTCCCTATGGGGCCACGAAACGTGTGAGCGGTGTGCCGAAATTGTAGACTGATGCGGGGAGCAGAAGTAAGGAGGGGGGAGGAGAGAAGAAGTAGGAGGAGGAGGCGGAGGAGGAGGCGGAGGAGGAGGATGAGGAGGAGACGCGAGGGGATTGTCTCGTCACATCGTGGACCCAAGTCCACAGGATGCTTGAGAATAAAATGCATGAACATGCGCTTTCGGAGCTCCTCGCGGATGTCTTGGATCTGCTCTGGGCTCCCTTGCCGCGCCCCAGGGAGGGGGGCCCAGTGCCAATCCAAGAGATCCGCGCGGACCTCCGACAGTTTGCGGTTTATTTTGGTGTTTTTTTTTCAAATCGAGGCAGCGGTCGTGGGCCTTCGGGGGGACCCCTCGCCGCCGCGCCTGGATACAGCTCGGGAGGCTGGTGCGTTTTGGCCGCGGGATGGGTCCGAGGACCGCTTCTGAGCCGCCAGGGTCTCGACTCGCCCTGCTCCTGTGCACACTTGGCCTGGGCACTGGCCCGGGCCTGTCCTGTGCGCGGGATCGTCGGGGGCATTTCAATGTGTGTGTGTGTGTGTGTGTGTGTGTGTGTCTAGGCCTCCTAGATGGGGTCGGAGTAGATGTGGTCGGAGGATCGCGCCGCATCGCCGATGCATCGCCGATGCGGCTCGATGTGGAGCCCGTGTTTCCCCACGCCGACGTCGCCGATGCATCGTCGACGTCGCCGATGCGGCGCGATCCTCCGACCCCATCTACTCGGACCCCATCTAGGAGGCCTCTAGTGTGGACTACTTGGGGGTGGATGTTATTTGGCGGCGAGCGAGGGGGGGACTGAGAAGGAGAAGGCCTGCTCTCGGCCTTCTGAGGAGTTTTCTAAGCCTTCCCGGAAGACAAACAACAACTTCTCAGAAGGCGCGAGGGCTTCCGAGCAGTCCCACCGCCTTCCGAGAAGGCCCTCTCCTTCTCGCCTCCGCCCCTCGCTCGCCGCCGAATCGTGGCAGGAGCCATGACATCTCCCTGCACTGCACGGCCCTCTCGTCTTGTTTCGGCACGGCCCTTGGCCCCCCCCCCCCCCCAGGCCGCGTGCGCGCCTCGGGCCATGATCTGCGACCCCCCCCTCCTGGACGCCCCCCGAGGGTGTGCCTTCCCTGCCTGCCGCCTCTCGCGTCGTGAGAGCAGCACGACCGAAGGCTGCTGGCCGCTCTCGGCCCCCGGGGGGCCCTCGCGGGGCCTCGGGGCCGTGAGGAGACAGCTCGGGACGAGGAGCTGGCCCATGGGAAGGGGCTGAGCGTTCAGGGTCGGGAGCCTCGAGGCAGGGGTCAAGGCAGGCAGGGGATCAGACCGACGCGCCAGATCTCGCAGGATCCCGCACAACCGGGGCTGCACTGACCTGGGGGATAGCCTGCAGGATCCTGCAGGATCCTGCAAAGCCTGACTGACCCGGGCTTGCATGAAGTCGGGCGTGTCGCTTTACAGGGGGAGTATATCCAAAAATAGTCAAAGCATAGTCCGGGGACGGAATTTTGACTACTCTTTAGTATTTTGGAATATTTTAAGACTTTGTTTTTTGGTCAAATCCCCCTGTAGGAGGACATGCCCGAACTAAGGCTTGCATGGATCTAGGCCTCCCAGATGGGGTCCGAGTAATTAGATGGGGTCGGAGGGTCGCGCCGCATCGCCGATGCATCGCCGATGAGGCTCGATGTGGAACCCGATTTTCGCAACGCCGACGCCGCCGATGCATCGCCGACGTCGCCTGTGCATGGCCGATGCATCGCCGATACATCGCCGATGCATCGCCGATGTACCAGCGATGCGGCGAGATCCTCCGACCCCATCTACTCGGACCCCATCTATCGGGTGTTGCTAGAAGTGCCCCTGGCCCAATGTGCCTCCAGATTTCCGTTACGTTTTGGAGCCCCTGGGACCCTCTGGGCCTCGTGAGGGGTGCCCTGGAGGCCGTCTGGGCCACCCCGAGAATCCTGGGGGTACCTTGGGCCAGGGGTACTTCTAGCAGCACCCGAATCTAGGAGGCCCCTAACGGACCCGTGGCATCAGATCCCCGGCCAGGGCAGCCGCGCTGGCGACAGCAAAAGAGGTCACTGCGTCGGGCGCCTGTCAACACCCACCAAACCACCCCAACCCAACCCGAAGGCCTCAATTTGCCCTCCATTTCCAGTTGGGGGGGGGGTCGGGGAACATTGAAAAAACACATGGAACCCATACCCTCCCCAACCCGAAATTGGGGTCTTCGGGTTGGGTTGGGGTGGTCTGGTAGGTAGTCAGCCTGGGCCCCTGGCCCATGCCGGGAGGGCCGGGCGCGCCGATGGCGGGCCTGGGCCTGGGCCCGCGCAGGTGCGCACGCAGGGGGCGTTCTCCTGCAGAGGGCGGCGGGGGGTCCTGCTTCTCTAGGAGGAGGAGGAGGAGGAGGAGGAGGAGGAGGAGGAGGAGGAGGAGGAGGAGGAGGAGGAGGAGAAGGAGGAGGAGCTATCGGGGGTGCCAAAGAAGAGGGGGGTGATGACTAGGGGGGGTTGGATATCATGGCGGGGGCCAAAACATCTCCCCAGATTTCATGTCGCCTCGTCTAATTCCAATAAATCCCTGGCGCCCCCCCTGGGCCGCGCACATGCCGCCGCCCATGATTTGCGCCCCCCCCTCTTGGACACCCTCCTCTTGGCCGCCCCCGAGCAGAGGGCGGCGGGGGGTCCTGCTTCTCTAGGCCTCCTAGATGGGGTCCGAGTAGATCGGGTCGGAGCTTTCGCGTCGTATCGCCGATGCATCGGCGATGCGGCTCGATGTGGAGACCGTGTTTCCCCACGCCGACGTCGCCGATGCATCGCCGATGTATCGCTGATGCATCGCCGAAGCATCGCCGATACATCGGCGATGCATCAGCGATGCGACGCGAAAGCTCCGACCCCGTCTACTCGGACACCATCTAGGAGGCCTCTAGCTTCGGCGGTCGCGGTCACGGCTGGGGTCGGTTCGAAAGCCTGGCCAGGACGGGGCTCCGGAGGGGGATGCGGGGGCCGGTTCTCCACCGAGGAGAGCACCATGCTGAAGAAGCAGGCGGCGGGGGAGTTCAACAAGAAGTTCCGCAAGTCCGACGAGTTCAAGAAGGACCTGCCGGACGAGAAGGTGCAGTCCTTCTCGAAGATCCTCGGCAAGTTCTTCGAGGCGGAGGCCGACGACTACAAGAAGGAGCCGGGGTCGGAGGCCCCAGACCCAGACGGCCTGCTGTTCAAGGGCACCGAGTCCAAGATGGACTTCAGGCTTCGGTGTCGTCTAACCGGTCCCCATCCCCATCCCCATCCCCCTCGAGACCCCCACCACGTTACCACCCCAGTTGGGGATACACCCCTCGAAGCCCGAAGGGAACGACCTACATCCCCATCTAGGGGGGCAAGTCGGCCAGTGGGGCCCGGGCCACGCCGCTGGGGATGGGGATCGGTCAAACGATACTAAAGGCTGAAGAGCCGGATCGTCGAGATCGACCGCGACGCGGAGCGCCGCTACCACTTCGCCGCTCTGAGGACCACGCACGCCGCGTACAGGGGGGAGTTCTGGCCGAGCAGCTCCCCGATGAAGGATGTGTACTATTTCCAGAACAACGACACGGATTCGCACGACATGCTGGTGAAGGCGGTCGAGAATGCGGGGGTTCCTGTGACGGTTCCTCCGGTCGGCGAGAGGTTCAGCCTCGTGCTTCCCAGATGCCTATTTCAGGATATCAACGAGGTCGGCGCCAATCTCATTGCGTGGAAGGAGCAGTTTGGTGTGTCGGATGACGACTACAAAACGGCGGTGGAGAAGATCACTACTGACCTGATTCTGGGCTACTATCCAGTTGGCTGCGGCAGGTCTCGCCACCGTGCCAGCCCGGCATTTTTGGTGCAGAAGGCCGTAACATGTGACACAATCTTCCGCGCCGCGTCGGGGGTTCTCTTTTCGTCTTCCTCGTATTCCTCTCTTTCTTCCGTCTTATCTTGGGTGGGGCTGTCTTGGATGTCCCTTGGGCCACTTTGAGCCGTCTTGAGGACCTTTTGAGCCATCTTGGGGCCCTCTTGAGCCGCCTTGGTGCCCTTTTGAGCGGTCGTGGGGATCGTCGTGAATTATCTTTTGCCATCGATGGGCTCTCTTCGGCCGTCTTGGGTCCCTCTGGAGCCTTCTCGGGTCAGCTTGGGGTTCTCCTGGCGCCGTCCTGGGTCGTCTAGAGGCCCTCTTGTGCTGTCTCGAGGCTGTCTTGGGAGGATCACTGGGCAATTCTAGGGCACTCCTGGGCCGCCTTGGGGCCATCTTGGAGGCCTCCAGGGCCATTTGGAGCTGCAGGAAGCCAGAGCAGGTGAATACGCACACGTCTTTCGGACAACCTGCGAGAAATACGTGATTCTTGCCTGTTCGGAACCTGCTGGGAGTCCTCGTGTGGCCCTCTTGAGACGTCTTGGGGGCACTTTGGGTCCTCTTGAGGCGATCTTGGGCTGCCCTGGTGCCATCTTCGGTCGTCCTGGAGGTATCATGGGCCATTCTGGTGGCCTTGGTGGTCTGCCTCGGCCGTCTTGGAGAAGCTTGGGAGCGCGGGCCAATTGCTTTTTTTGTACAAGGGGCCGTGGCCTCGGGAGCGCGGATCCATGGTTTTTGCAAGTGATCGTGGCCTCGGGAGCTCGAATGCATTTTTCCCCAAACAGTGCTTTCACTTATGGGGTTCTTGCTTGGCTTAACAATCGCAGGTCGAGTGGCGGCTTTTGCAGGCGGTGCCGCCCGTCGCCGCCCGTCGCCGTCGCTGTCGCCGTCGCCGCCTCTTCGCGATTCATGCAGGAAGCACGCTTAAGCAAACCGCCTGCATCTGTCCCTTCCTTCCATCCGTCCTCTCTTTCGCTGCCTTAGGGGCTGCACGAAATACGCGTTGCAGATAATAAAGATATACCCCTACGGGTGTACGATCGAAGACGACGTGGGCGGGTATCGAGGGTTTGGGATATATACGTGTTGAAATGGCACGCGAGCAAAACAAAAGCGAGCAGTCTTAACATTAGTGTTATTGTCATTATTATTGTTATTGTTATTGTTGTTGTTGTCGTTACTGTTGTTGTTGCTGCTGATTTTGTTGTTGCTGTTGTCGTTGATGTTGTGGTTGTCCTTGTCGTTGTCGTTGTCGTTGTCGTTGTCGTTGTCGTTGTCGTTGTTGTTGCTGCTGCTGCTGCTGTTGTTGTTGTTGTTGCTGTTGTTGTTGTTGTTGTTGTCGTTGTCGTTGTCGTCGTTGTCGTTGTCGTTGTCGTTGTTGTTGTTGTTGTTGTTGTTGTTGTTGTTGTTGTTGTTGTTGTTGTTGTTGTTGTTGTTATTGTTATTGTTGTTGTTGTTGTTGTTGTTGTTGTTGTTGTTGTTGTTGTTGTTGTTGTTGTTGTTGTTGTTGTGCGGGAGCGTCAGTTTCAAAGGGAGTGCAGCCATCGCTGAGGCGAGAGCGCCAGAAAGGGTACAGGAGGTTGAACAATAATACTTGTTGGGAATTAATGTCCAGCAGCAATAACATTACCTCGTGCGCCATGGTTGTGTACGCCACATGCATCTATCATGATGCCACCTACTCTTGGGGGAACTATGTGAACAGGGGGGCCGATATTCCCACATTTTTTCGTCGGCGGCTGGGCAGAGGGTAACTGCTCCGGCGGAATGGCAACAGGGGACACGCTGTATGCAAACTAAGGCCGCACTGTAGGAGGAGGAGGAGGAGGAGGAGGAGGAGTAGGAGGAGTAGGAGGAGGAGGAGGAGGAGGAGGAGGGGCCCCGGCGCGACAGGCCGATATTCCCACACCCAGATCTCCCGCCCCAGGAGGTCGGGCCAACGCCTCTCCCGAGGCACTTTATCATTTCCAGCTCGCTCGACACATCAAACAATCAGTGCAACTTAGGGGATCGGCGAGGGTTCGAAACACTAAGGATTCGAGCCCCAGGAGAGGGGTAATATATAAGAACGTACATATCACACCAGGGATTCGAGCCCCAGGAGAGGGGCACTATGTAGGAGCATGCGTGAAACACAGGAATCGAGCCCCAGTCGAGGGGCAACATCTGAGAACATACGTACAGCACAACGGACTCGAGAACCAGGAGAGGGGCAATCTATAGGAACATACGTAAATGAACACGAACAATTTGAGTCCCAGGAGAAGGGCGCCAAAGCTTACCGGGGCGAAACCCATTGGGGCAAAGCGCATAGGGGGGCCGAAAAAGCACTCCCCGAACGCAGATCCCAATACGGAAAAGTGCCTCCTGGGACCTCCTGGGGCCTCGGGCTGGGTGGCTGAAAAGCGCTACTCGAACACATGTCCCCAAAACAGGGAAGTTTCTCCTGGGGCCTCCAGGGGGGCAGGAGGGCCGAGACACGCCCCCCCGGACACAGAACCCTGGAGCTTCCTGGGACCTCCTGCCCCTCGCTGCCCTTCGTGGCCCCTTTGCTGCTCCTTGTGGCACCGTTTACGAATACCCTTCGTGGCCCCCGCTCGCTCGCGCCCGTCGTGGCCCCATATGTATGCCCTTCGTGGCCCCGCTGTCGCCCTTTTTGGCCCTTCGCTGTCCTTCGTGGCCCCGGTGCTGCCCTCAGCTGCCCCGTCGCTGCCCTCTGTGGCCTCGGATTTTATGCCCTTCGTGGCCCACGCTGGCTTTTCTTACGACTTACTTAGGAATCGCGATATCGCTCCATACTTCCTCGCGATTCATGCAGGACCCACGCTTCAGCAACCCGCCTGCTCGACCTCGTCGCCTGGGCCCGCCTTCCCGACCTGCCCGCAATTGGTCTGCCCACCCGATCTGCCCGTCTGGTTCTACGACTTGTTTTCTGCTCCTTGCCCCCCTCCTGCTAATTTCTCTCGTGATCCATTATTCTCCCAACCCCTTTTACCCGACCTGTCTTCCCTTGTTCTAGGGGCTGCACTAAATACACGTGCAGGTAAGGAAGGTATACCACGAAGGGGGTACGATCGCAGACGACGAGGGCGGGTACCGAGGGCTTTGGATATACGTATTGATGAGCACGTGATCAGATAAGAGCGAACAGTCCTAACATGATGGTTGTTGTTGCTGCTGCTGTTGTTGAACTTTCATTTCTGAAGAATAATTATTGTTCATCCCCCCCACCGGTGCATATTATTTTTTCCATTCAAAGTGTGCCCCTCGACGCTCGCACCTTGTTTTTTGACAAGGAAAGTCTTGATGCTTAAACTGGGCCCCTGGCCCCCGGGTTACAACAACAACGGCTCCCGCCTGAGACCTCCTCACAATTTAGCCAGGACCCCCGCTCCCGCCCGAGACTTCCTCGCATTTCACTCAGGAATCGCGCTCTCGCTTGGGACTTCCTTGCGATTTATTCAGGAATCGCTCTCCTGGCGTTCTGGAGTCGCGCTCTCGCTGGAGACTTGCTTGCAAGTTACTGAAGAATAGCGCCCTTGCGTTGGAATTTCCTGCCACTTGCTCAAGCGGCGCGCTCCCGACACCCAGGCACCCAGGAGTCGCGCCCGTTGTGGCCCCATGTGCATGCCCTTCGTGGCCTGCTGCCGCCGTTTGTGGCCCCCTCACTGTCCTACGTGGCCCAGTTGCTACCCTCAGTGGCCCCATCGTTGCCTTCTGTGGCCCCGCATTATCTGCCCTTCGTGGCCCCCGCTCGTTCGCGCTCTTCGTGGCCCCATACGCATTCCCTTCGTGTCCCCGCTGTCGCCCTTCGTGGCCTACTTCGTGTCCTTCGTGGCCCTGCTATCGTTTCTCTCGCTCTCGCTTTCGCTCGTCGTCGCCGTCGTCGTCGTCCGCCGTCGTCGTCGACGTCGTC